CAAGCGTTCCAGAACCAGGTTACATAATGAATCAAGTAAGCGCTCTTATGTTCAAGTGTGTAAAACCATCATTTGTTAAATATGGCCAATGCAGAAATGTTACCAGGTGATATATATGCTTTCTCACAAAGAGGTTTACGCATACATATGTATATATTATTTAGAATATGAAGACGACGACGAGGCAGTAGCGCGCACGAACATTTCGCGCAGGCCCCACGGGCCCAGCTCGGCCTCCATAAATCATTCTATCTTCTACCTCTCATCACTTGTCCTGGCCTTTATGCTGCCGACAGCATCATCCTAACACACAACTATTTATTTATTTTATTTTTATTCATTTTAATAATAATGCCGGCCTACTGTTGTGGGCCAAGGCATGTGAGTACATATATGACATATACAACAGCACAGCTCTAGTTATACATGGCTTCAAAAAAACATAGTGGAGAGAAAGTAAAAGGCATATATTATAGTACAAACGCTTCCCAATAAACAGAGGCAACACTTGGCAAATAATTAGTAAAATGAATTTGAAACCCCATCTGAGGCGTTGACAAACGAATCGAAGGCGGCACTGCCTGTAATGTTGTGAGGCAGGCCATTCCAGTCTCGGACCGTTCTCGGAAAGAAAGAGTAGTTAAGAATGTCTTTTCTCCATTGAAACTCTCGAAAAAGATTGTCATGCTTCTGCCGTGTGACTCAAATGAGATTGTACACCAGATGGTCTTCGAACTTCATTCCAATCTTATCGTGTATTAATTTATACAAAAAATTGAGACGCTGCACTTTTCTGCGGGTCGATAACTGGGTTAATCCGCATAACGCACAAAGGGATGGCACAGGCGTATGTATGACGTATCCATTATATATAAATCGCAGTGCCTTTTTTTGCACTCCCTCAAGTTTGTCAAGCAATAACTGTGAATACGGTTCCCCATAAAATATCCGCGTATTCCAATAATAGACAAATCAAAGTAGTGTACGCAACAAGCTTAGTTTCCGGGGTGCAATGTTAGGGTATATTGTCACGGGTGGTGACCAAAAGAACAATAAATACACAGAAAGAAATAAACGTTGAATGTGGCGAACTTGCGCCAAAAATCAACGGGTACAAAAGATAATAACAGAGCGTCGCGGGCGTCGAAGTCGGCGTAGCAGCAGAGTCGAACGCTGGTGCGAAACTGACTCCGCTAGCCTTGCGGAATCCCCCTTATGTACCCTCGTGGGTTTCTGGATAGTTCGGCGTAGAAGGTTCGGCGCGTAGAATATTCTAACCACGAATCAGCAAGACGGTTCTCGAATTCACCAGAACAGCACATTACAGTGTCAACAAAAAGGTGTAGCCGCGGCCAGGAATCGAACCCTGGCCTCCGGCGTGTAAGGCAAGCGCGATAACCCTTAGGCCACGCGCGCGCTGCCTACTTGGCCAGCTGCGCGCGCGGCAGTATACACTGTTTTTTTTTCATTCCTGCAGATTTGTTTTGAACAAAGCCATAAAACTACACTTATGCGGTTTGTGCGGGTGAGTTATACGCCCGGGGGGATATTATGTCAGTGGCTAATCTTTCCAATAAGTCGACGAATTAATTAAAATTCACTAATTAACTTTTTAGTTAGAGAAACTTGCTGAGCGTCGTCCAAAACCCGTAAATCAGTCATTTTCAGAAAGACTTTCACCACGTGAGAAGCGTAGTAGTGCACTAAATTTACCACTCGTGGAGCAGGTACAAGGCTAGTAAGTAAGGCGCCCGCGCAATTTTTCCTTTTCTTATCTAGCCCCCGCCTTGTACCAGCTCCACGAGTGCCAAATTCAGCACACTACTGCGCTTCTCACGCGCTCGAAGTTTTTCTAAAAATTACTAATTTAGGGTTTTGGACGACGCTCTGCAAGTTTCTAATTGCAACCAAATCCATATTTTTACTAATTAAAAATTTCATTATAGAATTTTAGTTAATTAGGTGACTTATCGCAACGATTACCCACCCACATAGTGTCTCCCTGGGCGTAAAACTCACTCGCACAAACCGCATAAATGTAGCTTTCGCGGCTTTTTTAAAACAAATCTGCAAGAATAAAAAAAACACTGAATATATATATATATATATATATATATATATATATATTTATGCATGTATATGTGCGTGCGTGCGTATGTGTGCGTGTGCATGTGTGCGTGCGTGTGTGTGTGTGTGTGCGAGAGTGCGTGCGTGCGTGCGTGCGTGCGTGCGTATTATAAGCTGTCGCGAAACAAATTTCGATTTCTTGCTTTATTCTGAAAAATATCTTACATTTCTTGTGGTAATCTAAATTTCCCACTCTATCATAGAACACAAGCAGTACGTCTATTTAAACGAAAGAACTTATGATATGAAGATTAAAATATTTTGCACTGGTACCTGAGCCTGGAAGTTTCTCGACTAGTTGTTTTCATTACCTTCTACTGGAGTCATGCAAGATGCCGCTCCGTGTTTCTCACTGTTTTGTAATGAAGGGAAAGCAGTAAACACCATGGGTTGTTGTTCTTATCAAATCAGTGACCGCGGTAAAAACAAAAATGCAACCAACAGCCCGTGTACAGCACATATAACCCAAGTTAATTCCTACACTCTATATAATATTGAGAAATCAGTATTGGTACAAACCGCACATTGTCGGGAGACAAGGACAGGAGAAGTGACATAATGTATAGTCATTCGTTCTATAGAAGAAAGCGCCGCAAATTAAAGTTGGCACCAAGGCAACCACAAATTAGGACTCGAATGCAGGTTGGTGTCAAAGAGCTCATTGGTCCTGTTTCATTAAAGGGATACTTCAACGAAATTTGAAATATTCCCGTCGTGTTCAAAATAGGTTGAATATGATCCACAATATCCGTAAATGATAATCGCACGTTTGTATTTTGAGCCTGGTGGATGTATTTTTCGTTATAAAGGCCCACTCTGGCAAGCGCTCGGAGAAGGCCCAGCGGAGACCACGTGACATCCAACGCAATCGTGACGTAGGTCGTCTTAAGACGACCAAAGCTACGGCAAGGCTGACGTCGAGAGGATGGCCTAGTCGTTCCAGCCACCGAAGCGGCTGCTTTTGCACAAATATTGAGTGACGGGATAATCTTTTATAGTCTTGTAGGGGTACAATAGCGACTTCTGTGCAAACAAAAGGCATTCTCGGGAAGAGGGGAGTACCTCCTGCCCCTCTTCTCTCGTCGTGGCCGGAGGCGAGACAACCTCCGTCATTAGCTGCCAAGGTTGCTAGACGGGCATTACAAGCGAGGCGTTAGCGACATCCACCAGGTGCTCTTAGCTAATCGTTTAATTCGTTTTAAAATTCCTTTTCTTGACTTTTTTAACAAGATATCGGTATGTTCGATTTGATAATGTTTTTTTGAACACATATAGACCAAAAAATGAGCGCCAAAATTTCGTTGTAGTATCCCTTTAAATGACAAGAGGCACAATATGTTCCATAGTACCGCCTCACTCCAAAATTTAGATTTTTTATCAACTGACTGGTTTTATATTTTTGTTTTATATCACCTCACAGCTTTCAAGAACCATAATAAGTACAGCTTGTTAAGGTGCACATTTACCTCAGCACATAAAATAAAATAATAATGATTCAAACTCATGGAAAAATTATTCTAGCCGATTATAGACATAGTGGTAACTGTGTCTTCTTCTCGTGTCTTTTGTTTGAAAAAAAAATTTAGGAAATCGCTAATTTTTTTGTAAACATTAAAAGTACAAATTTCAATAGAGTAGACACTTTATTAAAGTTCATGTCAAGTTACAAATATGGACTAACCATTTCTTTAATTTTACGGCCGTTTGTTTTTTTACGAACGCTGTCTTAGAACGCCATCTTGCTGCATTCGAGTATTTAAAAAAATTGTATTTCAAATACAAGTTGAAGACACAATATTAGTGCGAATCGTTCAGCGTATTGCCGTGTAAATTAAACAAAAAAACTATATTTTTGTTTGTAATTATGTTAAGGTGGGTGAAATTTCAAAGTTATCTTTCTCGCGCAGAAAATATTCTACGGCACGTTACATAAAGCCGTTTTCCGGGCAAACTCGAAATTGTTCATGAAGATTAGGAAGCTAGTTTCAAAACTATTTGAAAGCTTTTGAAAATAGGCTCCTCATGCTCCAACATAATAATAATAAAAAATAGTAGCCAGGATGTGCGGAAATGTTTTCAATGTTATTTTCAAACAAAGTTCATTGTGATACGGCTCAGTGAAAGCAGAAACATCCCGCTTTATTTCGTCAGCGCCGACCTGCCGAATAATACAAGAGCTACCCAAGTCTACAGGGAATTAGCACACCTTTCCAGCGATTCTCAAACACTGATATTTCGAGGACCGCTTCCTGATCAACAAAAGTAATGCAGAAGCCCCCTCCCGTCCACCGGGACGGAGGGGAGGGATTGGACAATAGTAATATTAGAAGTGTAAATCAGGGAAACTAAATGCGTGCAAAGGAACTTGTAAGCGCGGAAACAAAAAACAAAAAAAATTCTCAACCCTACTCACTCGGTTTTAGATGGTTGGCTCTATGGAGCTTCGTACAACCTCCCGTATGAATAAAACAATGCTAAGAGCTCGGCTTGACAGACAGTCTAAGACTTCGAGGACCCCAAAATTGCCTTCATGGTCCCCGAAATATACGCGGACCCCATTGGAGTAACACGACTATGTTCGCTGTAACGCCTAGAGTACCAGTAAAAAAACTTTGGGAGATCACGGATTCTTACTAATTTTTCATTTTGTGTGGTGAAATAAGACATTATCCGCCTTCAAGAATTTTATTTGGTATTGTTTCAAAACAAATTGAATAGGTCAGGATACAAGGAAACGTACGAATTAAGTACGATTTTATCTGATTAAATGTACTGTGAGTGAATAAATAAGATAATTCTATACACGATATTTACTATTTAACTAATGACTCCTGCTTATGCCTGTATTGTATCTGTCTGCAGATGTTCTGCAATCTTCCACCCAAAGCTCATTTGGCTAACCAAGACGCCGAGCAGTATGCGGCAGCAAACAGCCTTCGCCTTCATCCTGCGCAAGCAACGCTAATTGACGTAAGGATTCAGTGAACTTCCGCCTTCAACTTTTTATTTGCTTTTTCAAACAAAACATACCGGGTTTGATTGAGAAAATAAACCCAATATTTTCCCTTGACGTCGAGAAGACACGCAGAAATCTGAAGCAGTCAAAATATGACCCCAGCAAAGAGGATAGGAAGCAAAACTTTCAAAACATGGCGTTACCTGGATCCAAATTAAAAGACCAGCAAACTTTTCTTTAGCCTATATCATCCTAAACGTAAATGAGTCAAAACAATGATTGACATTTTAGGTGCCTATGGCGTTCATTCAAGTGAATCAAACCTGTCAGAGAAAAAAAAAAGAAACCAACACACTTTTAAACCCTGAGATGGGAAAAATTACGAGAAACAAATACAGCATTTCTTGCTGATAAGTTTGTTTTACTCTAATACCACAGGCAACACAATGTTATTTCTTGTTTGGACGAAATCAGGGTTAGGTGGACGTCGGGTCATAGAAACTTTTTGGAAGCTTAAAAGGATTTGAGGCTAGTGAGTTAGAGAAGGCAGGGTTAAAGTTAAATCGATTTTAGTGGTTGCTACGAGAAAGAGACAGCAAGAAAATGAGATTTTTCTTGCTGTCTCTTTGACAGCAAGAAGGAGAGAGAGAGAGAGAAAGAGATTTAGAGACTGAGGTTTGGGCTTATTTCTTGCCGAAATGGGACTTTCTATTAATTGTCTGCTTGAACCTGGGGTACAATATCGCTATTCACACAGACAATTCTTGGATAGTTAACGCAGGTCGCCTGCTGCAAGGACACAGAAATGCATATTCTTAGCTGAAGAGATTTATAAATTGTTACTAATGTTACCAAATTCTTCATTTGGAATCGTAACCCGATCAGAAAGGAAAGTTAGTTCTCAGCAGCGGCGTCTTCTTTAAAAAAAAAAAAAAGTTTTCTTTTTTTATTTGGCGACTCGGTGACCCAGATTATGAGACAAATAATAACGTAAAAACATAATTGTAGTACCGGGCAAATTTTTGATGCTAAGTTTTGAGAGTTTAAGTATAGATTATATATTTTATTGCTGCTTTATTTCAATTGAATGTTTGGCCTCAAAACGTGATTCGAACTTTTTGTTCATTAAGCTTGCGTTGTAACAAAACAAAAAAAAAAAATCAGCGAATGAGAAATGAAAAAGACGCGAACACATATCACTTCTAACCAGCGATGTTTCTGTGTGGCTACTTGTACTACATACCTTTGGGCCTTTTTCACTGGCTTCGACGCCTGTAAAGAGAGATTTATTATTAGCTTGAAATACAAAATAGGGTGCTGACACCAAATATTCATCTAGGAGTCTGCCGTGTCTCTGCTATGTAGGTGCTATTCTTTATAGCACGCCAGGGTAACGCCTAAATTGGAACAAGTTTGGTTATCCTCTATAGCCTAACTTAGCCCTGTTACGGTTTCGCTCCAAGGCGTTAGTTGGTGCCAAAGTATGTTACTGAGGCGGTTTCGTGACTTTTCTATCGCCGGGCGTGTGATTTCCATAGTGCTAAACATGAGCCAAGGATTCAACATATGAACTGATAAACCTTCAATGAAGCCTAAATATGGGTCTTATACGTCAATTTAGTCTCAAAGTTGCCACATGAAGACTGTATAACCAGACGTGAAGTCTAATTCTGGCATTTGTTTGGCTAATCATGGCCAAGACACCAGACTCTGGCCAAAGAAGCTCAAGATTTTCTCGTCTTTGGATACTTCTAGCTCTTTAATGTCCTAAATTCCCATAGAAAAAAGAATTGGTCCAAAGAAGAAATTATGCTTCTTGGAACTCTTTGTAGCACCCTACACAGTTAGCACACAATTTTAAAACAAATGAAAATAAATTTTGTGAGCCTAAATAATTCTCTAACAATATTTAATCCAAGAGGAGGAGGAGGTGTTGACGTAATAAAAAGGTTGTTGACAACGATAAAAGGCAAAGTTGGGGTGGACCTATCTTTTTACTTTTATGATGTCTAGCTCGACGCAAGTGGTGTTCTTTCAGGTACCCCGAAGGGTACAACAAAGCGTCGTCCTACGAAATGGTCACAACCCTAAACCTGAAGCAGCATGTAATGTTACCCTATGTCTAGCAATATGATTTAGCTTAAAATCGTCCTGTATCTTTTTGAACAAATTCAAGCATATTTTTTTAAATCATACACACTTTATAGGCTTGAAATGTAAAAAGGACACTTGAATAAAGACAATAATTTTACATGAAATATTTTGCACTTTAAAAAAATCAAGGCATTTATTTCTTTACTTTTTCTCGATTTGGGAAAATTTGTGCAGGGTAGGCAAAACAACGTTTCGTGCGGATAAAACATAAACATCTAATGGAGCGAAATAAAACAACCGTTATGCGTCGCTCTAACAAGGAAGGTTGCATCACTACCAAAATCAGTTTACGTCTTATTCACAACAGCGAAATTATAAATAATTATTTCACACAGCACGTCTGAATGGTGATGCGAAATAGGATGTGGAAAACAATCATTTTTGTAATAAAATGCCCTCATATGGGCGTTGCCTGATAATGAAGTGATTAACTCAAACCTATCAGTACTATTTGTTTGTTTTTTTTCTAAAAGTGTTCTCCTGCGCTAATGTATCAATTGAGTTGTAACCCGCCGTCAAAATAGGTCATATCAAAAGCTAAAGTTTGTTTTTTCTGTTCTATTCGATGTCGCTTTCAAACTGAGAATCCCAAGACATATAACCAGGCCGCGAAAAACCAACAACCGCAATTAATTGGCCGAAAGCACGTCAAACCCGACGATAATCCCATGACATATAACCAGGCTGCCAACATGGTTCCCGTCGAGGTAATTCGTGTGTAACTCAGCTAGCTGAATTCACTCATTCTCTTTCAATTGCCATTGGCAACAAGAAACGTGCAGAAGTATATTCTTTGATTTATGTAAAGCGTTTATGCCACATCATTTGGTATTGAATAAGCTTAGATTAATATGAATCAATGAAAATATTATAAAGTGGGTTGCTGAGTATTTGTCTGGGTGAGAACAAAGTGTTGTACTAAATGACCAAGAATCTTCGGCTGTAGTTGTAACCTCGGGGATGCATCAGGGAAGTGTACTGGAACCCTTGTTATTTCTTTTATTTACTCACGATATTTGCAAGGGTATACAGTAAAATATCTAGTGATTTGCGGACGATTACGTACAATGCAGAGTTATAAAAAATGACGCAGTCGTCTGCATGATGCGATATAATTTAGGAATATTAGAACGCTGGCGCCATCATTAGGAAATTGGTTTGAATATAAAAAAATTCAAATAAATGTGTTTTTATAATGTAATTAAATGCAATTTTCATCAACATGTGTTTTTGTAATGTTATTAAATGCAATTTTCCTCAATATGTGTTTTACTTGATCTATTGTTAGCACGGCTACATATAAGATAAATAATTAGAAAATTGAGCAGGCAGATGAACACAGGTATTTGAGAGTTAATGTTTTGAATAATCTATATTGGAAGGACCTCATAAATAGTATTGAAGCGAAAGGAAGTAAGATCTTATTTTTTATTCGGGAAAATTTTAAGAATACAACTCTTAGTCTAAGACGAACATCATATTTTTTTATTAGACCAATTTTGGAGTATGCCTGCGTTATCTGGGATCCGAGTCGGTGTTACCTCGCGAATAAGATAAAGCAAATTAAAAATCAGGCATTAAGGTTTGTCACAGGCGATTATAGTCCGTACTCGAGTTGTACAAAAATAAAGACTTGACTTGGTTGGGACCTTTTTAAACTTCGCAGAAAGTGTTTGTTGTGAAACTTTTTTCACAATATACAGGGTGTTTCTTTTGTTTTTGTTCTTACACATTTGTATAAAAAAAAACGTGAAAGCTACACTAATGCGGTTTGTGCAGGTGGGTTATACGGCCAGGCGTACATTATGTGGGTGGCTAATCTTTGCGATAAGTCGGCTAATTAATTAAAATTCGTTAATTAACGTTTTAATTAGTGGAAATAGACTTATGGTTGCAATTAGAAACTTGCTGAGCATCATCGAAAACCACTAAATCAACTATTTTCAGAAGGATATAACGCAGGGACAGCATTTTACGGCGTTCTGTAAAAACGCTTCATTTGGACGCGTTTCTAGATTTCGGTTTCTTATCGGAACGCATCACCGCGCCCGCGGTCCCGCTCCCCGGTGGTCGCGGCGCGAAGCCTCCCCTCGCCTCCCTCGTAGAATGGAGCGAAGTAGGGCGCACATGTATTGCGCGTCTCAGCCACTGGGGAGCGGGACCGCGGGCGCGGTGATGCGTTCCGATAAGAAACCGAAATCTGGAAACGCGTCCAAATGGAGTGTTTTTACAGAACGCCGTAAAATGCTGCTCCGGCGTTATATCCTTCCAGAAATAGTTGATTTAGTCATTTTCGATGATGCTCTACAAGTTTCTAATTAAAACCATATGTTTATTTTCAGTAATTAAAAAGTTAATTAACAAATTTTAATTAATTAGCCGACTTATCGCAACAATTAGCCACCCACATTGTGTCCGCCTGGCCGTATAACCCACCTGCACAAACCGCATTACTGTAGCTTTCACGGTTTTTTTTTTTAAATAAATGTGTAAGAATAAAAAAAACACCCTGTATATCACGAGGAGACAGCCATTGAAAAGGGTCTTTACATTCTCGAACAACCCCATGTATCTTCAAGGCGCAATGATTCTAAGATGGCAGCAGAGTGTCGTTATCGTACTGACTGTTTCTGTTATTCATTTTTTGTTCAAACCGCCCGGGAGTAGAATGCCCTTCCGGAAGGACAGATAGCTGTTATCAACAATGACGTCTTTTATGACACACTGCAGAGAAGTGTGCTCGAGTGAAAATGTAGTACTTAATGATTGTCGATTGCATTGCATTTTGAGTGTATTGTATACAAAAATGTATTCTGAATGCGTTTTTCTTATGCCCCCCCCCCCCCCCTGCATAATGCCTAACGGCGCAGAATTTATTTGTTTAAATACGTTACTACTACTGCAGCCGAGGAGAATCTACCCGAAAAAACAGCGGCACGTTTTTAATACTGCCGCCTGCTACGTATGTAGGGACAATCAAGGCATATACGTCGTATACGCGACTCTCGTGTATTCTGTGTAGATGACTTGACAGTACGAAAAGGTAAAAGTGTAAGTTAATGGGTGTGAATGGATGTAAAAAGGGGGGATGAGAGGGTGATGAACACTAGCTGAAGCAGTCAGACGAAAACTAATGAGTGCACAAAAAAAATAAACCATAGTCCGCATGCTATTTTTCTTTCGTCAGTCATGCACACCCTCGCCCATATTGCCCCTTTAATACAGTCTGAGAGCAGGAGACGCTAGGAGCCGATGGAGCAACATCGTGGCTTTCATCTTCTTTTTTTGAGCGAATTCTTCGCACCTACTAAAATGCACCGGAACACTGCGGTTTTACTTGCATGAAGTGTAGAAACGCCGTCTGGAATCTCGGGAGACTGAAAAAAGAACCAGAGGCAGCCTAGAAGATATAAAAATAAAATAATTTACACACTGGAGGTGAAGGAAGTAATCGTCGTTGTATTAAGTACGAAAAGTTTTAAGTAATGTTAAATCAACCTGTCAGCAGCACACTAGCGCCAACTCCCGTAATAGCAGAAAAGACGCGTCACACACTCTCTAAAAACAAATGAGCGTTTACTTTCCGGTAAAACACAAAGATGGCCGATAACTGACAATGAATGGGAATTTTCAATACAAAAATAGATGACACCAATGTGCACAGAAAAGATGAACAGTTCAAAAGTTGGGTATTGTTAAAATAGGGCAAGGACAAACATCACATCTAAAATAACAACCTTTTACAGTGAAGTGTAGGCATTTCTTTACAGTTGAAAGTAATATTCAAAATTCACATGGTGCACTTAAGTTGTGGAAGATGATTGTAGAGAATGATGTCTTTACAACTGTTTTTTACAGCTAACCCAAAGGCATCCATACGGTGTCATGATTGGAGACAGCTGTGTGCTCCAGCATTTCCAACTTCTTCTAAGGGCAATAAACGCGAAAAAATATCTGGAGGTTGGTAAGTAAAATATTGTGGGTTATGAACGATTTACAGACTCCGGACTGGTAAAGAATCCAGAGATAGCCAAACGTTAACACTAAACTACGACGCTCATGCTTGAATTCTTCTTTAAGCTTTATTTATTTATGTAAAAGTAAAAGGACATTAAAATACACTCAGTGCGCTGGCGAGCTGGTGGACTTTTGGGGGGATCGGTGGCCGAGTGGGTTAAAGCGCACACCCAGCTCGACGCGCGTGGAGCGAAATCTCGCGCTGCAGAACCCAGGGATCCTGGGTTCGAGCCCCACCCCTGCCCGTTTCGATCTGGATGAGCATCGTACCGGCGTGCGGTCGTGTATCACTACTGCGTGGTGCACGTTAAAGACCCCAGGCTAGCGGTTGTACTGCACTGGCTAAATTGCTCATCTACAGCGTGTGACTCTTCGCAACTTTAATGGCTGACCAACTACACCCTGTATAAATATCCCCACAACCCAATTATATTATTATTGGCGGACTTTTGCTATGATGTAATTAACCCGAGGCCATCACTGCCAAAATGTTTTCCTTCTTTGGCCCAGTCTTGGGTTAAATACATCATGGTAAAAATGTCACCGTAGTTACAAAAAACCACGCATTTTCAGGTACTTACACCGGATGCAGCGCCCTTGCTGCTGCACTGGCGATGCCTCCTGATGGAAGGGTGATCACGCTAGACATGTTTGAATGTCTTGTGGATCTGGGTCGACCTTTCTGGAAGCAGGTACACATCACTAGTTATTAATCATGTATCCAACATGGGTTTTTGAAATATTGATGCCGAATTTGAATGTATATATTGCCACCCGCAAGGTCACGGACTTCTAGAATGTTCTCGTTTATTCTTACTGCCGACATAACTTCCATAGTTTATCCCTGCTCTTGTTTTTCTACAAAGTGCATGTTCATTCTCGCCCCGAGCGCGCTACGTCTCGAACCTTCTCCGCCGAATCTTTGAGATAGTGACTCACTCTAGATATGAGGCCGCCAGCGACTTTGTCGAGTCAGTTTTTCGCCCCAGCGTTCGACTCTGCTCTCTCGCCGACTTCGACGCCCGCGACGCTCTGTTGTTATATTTTGTTTCCTTTTTTTTATTTTTGGGCACAAGTTCGCCCTTATTAAACGTTTCAGTTTCGCCAGTTATTCTGTTTCCTCGCCTGTTCATTCGCGACATTTTGGTGGAGGTGCGGGGTACTGCATGTCCGTGCAGCGCACCCCTCCACGTTCCCGTAGTACAAGTCGGAACCCAAGCTCCGTAGGACCCGACGAAGACCAGATCGAGACCCGATTAAGTCGCCGCATCAAAGGTCTACTCCCGGAACACGGACGTCTGCCACCTACGACCAAGCCGAAGACGACGATGGCCAACCAGGCGCAGACCCCGGCCGCTTCTGCTGTCGTGTACCTGCCGGTCGCACCCAGGACTCCAACGCCTTTCCACGGAGACGTCCACGAGGACATTGAAGACTGGCTGCAACACTTTGAACGTGTAGCCCACTACAACGGATGGACGACTGAGCAATGCCTCCACAATCTCTACTTCGCACTCGAAGGGACAGCGAGGCATTGGTTTGAAAACCACGAAGCGTCCTTCACTACGTGGGAGTCCTGCGCCGCCGAGTTGAAGCGAACGTTCCTCAACCACCACCGTCGGCAGCGAGCGGAGGACCTTTGTCAAACAAGGGTGCAGGGCCCCAAAGAAAGCGTGACAAGCTTCGTAGAAGATGTCATGCGCCTATGCGCCCGAGCCGATCCGGAGGCAGCCGAAGAGAAGAAGCTTCGCGTCCTTATGCGTGGCGTGAAGGCTGAAATTTTCGGGGGCCTTGTCCGCAATCCCCCGACAACCGTCGACGGTTTGTGGCTGAAGCCACTAATATCGAGCAAGCGCTGTCGGCTCGAGCAATCCGTTACCATCGACTCGCCGGCGTGCCTGCTGCTCCAACCGCCGCATATTGCCTGAACACCACCAGTGTTGACGGCCTTCGAGAAATCGTCCGCGACGTCGTCCGGGAGGAGCTCCGGAAGCTGCTACCCGCCGCTAACCGACCCGCTTCGCTCTCCATCGCCGAGGTCGTGCGGGAAGAGGTGCAGAGAGCCATTCAGCCAGAGGCTCCCAGAAGCGTAGCACTCCCCGAAGAACCGACGCTAACTTACGCCGCAGTGGCACGACGGCCACCGCCTCCTCCTCGCGCCTATGTCGTGCCGCCCCGACGTCTGTCTCCTCCGCCGCCGCACGACCGACGCCACGACGACCAGGTCCAGTACGCCTGCCAGGCGCCTCACGGACCCCGGAAGACCGACGTGTGGCGAACGCCCGACCGACGCCCTCTGCGCTTCCACTGCGGGGAAGCAGACCACACCTACCGCCGATGCCCGTACCGACGACTCGGGCTGCGCGGGTTCCACCCAAACGACCCGCGCCCCCGTAAGGGTGAACGCCCTCGGGAGATTAAAGAGTACCTGCGACGACCACAGTCCCCCAAGCCTGGGCACCGCCGAGAGTCCCGGTCGCCGTCGCCACGACGTCCAGCTTCGCCGATGAACCGAACCCGACGTGAAAGCCTGGCACCCTTTGCTCCTCGCCGGGGAAACTAGGCTCGGCAACCCCTGGAGGTGGAGTTGCCGAAGACGACCGACGCCAAAACGACGCTTCTGCAACGGTAAAGAATAATCTAAGCATCGTTATCGACGGCCATGACGCGTCGGCTCTCGTCGACACCGGAGCAGACTACCCCGTCCTGAGTGGGAGGCTCTCCCAACGCCTTCGGAAAGTGACGACGCCGTGGTATGGCCCACAGATAGGAACTACCGGAAGACATCTTATCACGCCAGTCGGAAGATGCACTGCTCGCGTCGAGATTCACGGCGAGACGTGTCCGGTAAAGTTCGTCGTTCTACGAGACTGTGCGATAGACTTTATACTCGGAATGGACTTCTTGTGCGAATACGGCGCCATTATCGTCCTGGAAGCCAACGAGTTGAGGCTGCGGAAACCTGTCGTACTGCCCGAAAATGACAAAACTACGACAGCCACGTCAGCTACAGTGCGTGTACTCTCCGACCACTTAGACTTGCCACAACGCTCGAGTGTACTTGTGCCTGTCGCGACCGAAAAAGGCATCTGCGGAGAAGCTTTGCTGGAAGGTAGCGTCGAACTGCTATTAGCAAGAAAGATCGGCGTCGCAAGAGGCATCGCGGAGTTCCAATGCGGACGCACTATTGCACTCGTAACGAACTTCCGACAGGAGGCTCAGCACCATACGAAAGGCACCGCCGTGGGTCACGACGAGGAACTCCCCGACTCAGCCGCTATCGCCGGAGTATCAGAAGACCTCTCCTCGTGGCCACACGAGACAACGCCACCTTCGCAGTTCGACATCAATCCAACCTTGCCTACCCCACAACGGCGACAACTCAGTGATCTTCTCGCCGAGTTCAAAGAGTGCTTCTCCACGTCCTCATGTGTACGCCAAACGACGGTTGCGAAACATCGAATTATTATTGATGACGACGCACTTCCCGTTCATCGATCGCCGTACCGTGTTTCGGTGAAAGAGAGAGAAGTCATCCAGAAGCAAGTTGAAGAGATTCTTGACGACGACATCATCCAGCCCTCAAACAGTCCGTGGGCTTCACCGGTGGTCCTGGTGAAAAAGAAGGACGGGACTCTTCGGTTCTGCGGGGACTATCATCGACTGAACGCCATGACGAAAAAGAACGTCTACCCGCTGCCCCGCATCGACGACACTCTGGACCGGCTGCGCCACGCCCGATACTTTTCGTCGATGGACCTGAAGAGTGGGTACTGGCAGATCGATGTCGACGAACGGGATCGTGATCCGACTGCCTTCGTCACGTCGGATGGACTGTACGAATTTAAAGTGATGCCGTTTGGACTGTGCACAGCACCGGCGACCTTCCAGCGCGTAATGGATACCGTCCTCGCAGGCTTGAAATGGCAAAGCTGTCTCGCCTACCTCGATGACGTCGTGGTATTCGCAAGCGACTTCAACGAGCACCTGAGACGTCTGCGAGCCGTGCTACAAGCTATCTAGAATGCTGGACTGACGCTCAAGCCGTCGAAATGTCAGTTCGCTTACGGCGAGCTTAAATATTTGCGCCATGTCGAGAGTGCTGAGGGTTTGAGCCCCGACCCGGCAAAGGCATCCGCTGTCGCCGCATTCCGAAGCCATCAGACAAGAAAGCCGTAAGAAGATTTCTTGGACTGTGCGCTTACTACAGGCGTTTCGTTCGCGATTTCGCCAAGATTTTTGCACCACTCACGCAACTGACGAAGGACGACGTGAACTTTCAGTGGGGGAAGGAGCAAGAACAAGCGTTCGACGAACTGAAGGAAAGACTCCAGTCGCCCCCTATCCTGGGACACTTCGATCAAGCAGCGGACACGGAAGTTCACACGGACGCCAGCAACGCCGGACTCGGCGCGGTACTCGTCCAAAGACAAGACGGAACAGAGAGGGTGATCGCTTACGCAAGCCGGGCGCTATCCAAGGGAGAAAAAAATTACTCAACGACCGACAAGGAATGTCTCGCTGTCATCTGGGCGTTAACCAAGTTCCGACCGTACCTGTACGGGATCCCATTCCGCGTTGTCACGGACCACCACGCGCTCTGTTGGCTCGCCAACCTCAAGGACCCGTCAGGACGCCTCGCTCGCTGGAGTCTCCGGCTGCAAGAATTCGACGTATCCATTGTGCATAAATCCGGCCGCAAGCATAATGATGCTGACTGTTCGTCTAGGGCTCCAGTCGAACCTCCTACCTGCGGCGCCGACGATGATGACGACGCCCGTTTTGTGGGCGCAGTTAACGCTACCGATATGAGGGCACTGCAACGCGACGACACGGAACTTCGCTCTGTGATCGACCACCTCGAAGGTCGAGGAGGTTCTGTCTCACGGGTCTTTTCTCGGTACCTACCGAGCTTTGTCCTGCAGCGAGGTGTGCTCTTCAGAAAGAATTTCGGAATCAGCCAAACTCCCTGGCTTCTGGTTGTTCCTATTAGCCTCCGAGAAGAAATTTTTCAAGCGTGCCACGACGACCCAACGGCCGGACATCTTGGCTACAGCAGGACCATTGCCCGGATTCGTGACAAGTATTACTGGCCAAAACTCCCGAAGAGTGTTCATCTGTACACGCGGTCATGTCACGAGTGCCAACGGCGTAAGAAACCTCCGACGAGACCTGCGGGATTCCTGCAACCGATATTGACCCCTAGTACGCCTTTCCAACAAATTGGAATGAATTTGCTTGGGCCCTTCCCACCATCGACGACGGGGAACCGCTGGATAATCGTTGCCACGGATTACCTTACCCGGTACGCGGAGACGAAAGCCCTTCCGTCGGGAACAGCGGTGGAAGTCGCGAAGTTTTTTTCGTCGAGTCTATTCTGCTTCGACATGGCGCCCCCGAAGTCTTGATAACCGACCGAGGGTCATCGTTCCTGGCCCAGCTCACGCAAGAGATCCTTCGGCTCAGCCACACCAGCCATCGTCGGACCACGGCGTTCCATCCACAGACCAACGGGCTAGTGGAGCGGCTCAACAAGACGATCGCCGACATGATCTCTATGTACGTCGAAGTAGAGCACAAGACGTGGGACGAAGTATTAGCATACATCACGTTCGCCTACAACACCGCAGCTCAAGAAACAACCGGATTTACGCCATTCGAGCTGGTGCATGGAAGAAAAGTGACGACCATGCTAGACGCGATGCTGCCCCATGAGCCTGTGAATGACGGATGCGACGATGCCCATGTGGTCAGTCAGAGAGCAGAAGAAGCACGCCAACTAGCCCGCCTTTGAATCCACGATCAACAGCGTGTCGACGCTCGCCAGCACAATCTTCGTCGCCACGCCGTCCACTTCCTGTCCGGAGACAGGGTATGGGTGTGGACACCTATCCGCTGCCGTGGTCTCAGCGAGAAACTCCTGAAGCGCTACTTTGGGCCTTACAAGATCATCCGACGTCTCGGAGATCTGAACTACGAAGTTCTTTCCGACGGAACACGACCATCAACAAGGCGTCAGCCACGACCCGAGGTGGTGCACGTCGGCCGGCTGAAGCCCTATTACGAACGATAACACTTTCTACCGTCGTCGACGTGTGAACTGTGAACTGTGAACGGTGAACAGTGAACTGTGAACGGTGAACAGTGAACTGGTGAACTGGTGAACTGTGAACTATGGCTCGCGATTATAGTGTCCTTTAGTTGTGGATTTGTTTTTCGCTTTGTGCTGCATCGGGACGATGCGCTCTTAAAGGGGGGGATAATGCCGCGCGCTAAATTACGGACTTGTAGAAGGTTCTCGTTTATTCTTACTGCTGACATAACTTCTATCGTTTATCCCTGCTCTTGTTTTTTCTAAAATGTGCATGTTCATTCTCGCCCCGAGCGCGCTACGCTCGAACCTTCTCCGCCGAAACTTCGAGATAGTGACTCACTCTAGATAAGAGGCCGCCAGCGACTTTGTCGACTCAGTTTTTCGCCCCAGCGTTCGACTCTGCTCTCTCGCCGACTTCGACACTCGCGACGCTCTGCTGTTATCTTTTGTTTCCTTTTTATTTTTGGCCACAAGTTCGCCCTTATTAAACGTTTCAGTTTAATAAGGGCGAACTTGTGCCCAAAAATAAAAAGGAAACAAAAGATAACAGCAGATTATATATATGTATATATATATGCGGAGGGCAAGTTCGTCTGCTTCTTGCGCAGGGGGTAGCGGTGACGTCAGTACGCCGAGCCCTGATTGGCTAATCGCGGGCTCCCCTATCTGAGCGTCGTCTGCTCCTTTACCACGTCGTCTGCTCGCAACGTCGTCTGCGTCTGGCTTACCTTTCTTGCGACTTTTGGAAGTGCAGGCGACGATCCTACGCCAAAAATGTGCGTAAGACATAACTTACCAACAAATCCGTATTCACGAAACGAAATTTTCCCAAGTTTTGCGCAAGTTACGACGAAATCCTACGACAGCTCAGAAGCTGTCTTACGCACTTCTTACGATCATATGAGCATGGCCGACAGCGTCGCTGTCGCGACGACCAACGGACGTTTATTTTTCTACGTGCGCTTCTTACGCGTTCCGACTTCAAGCAGCAAGAAAAAAGTAAAAAGTACTCGAAACAGACCACGACGAACAAGAACGCAGGATCCACAAACACCCGGGAAGAGCTCCAACAGCCACGATTCCACCGAACGCGACCAAGCGAGCACGGCAGTTAGGCCTAGCAGGCACTCCGCGACTCGGCGACCGTCTGCACACAACCGGCTGGTGTGCTGAATGGAATTTGCCCGCGCGACCCTTGTGAACCCTTCCCGTATTATACTTTGATCGCTGACCTCAGTTTTAGATTAAGAGGTCAATTTCTTCCTCTTGTTATCTCCTTGTTTCCCGAGGCAACGGTGAATCTCGCCGGTGAAAAAGCGGTGAATCTCCCGCAGACGCGGGAAAGGTAAAGCAGCCATCGTTTTGACTAGCAGACGTAAAGCAGACGACGTTAACTGCGCCAACCCGCCGACGCCGTTAAAGAATGAGAGGTCTCGCCGCACACGAAAGGAGCGAAAAAGTATTTGGAAGGGAACTTGCGGACACTAACACGCTCACCTCTCGGTTCTTAGCAAACAAACCTCGACGCTTCGGGGCACCTCGCCGGTGAGTCATTTGACTTCCCTCCTTGATGCGCGTCTGCTAGTTGTTAGACAAAAACAATGTACCGAAGTCGAGCTCGCTCGTAAAGACCTGCACTTCCGAAAGTCGCAGAAAAGGTAAGACAGACGCAGACGAGGTTGCGAGCAGACGACGTTGCAAAGGAGCAGACGACGCTGAGAGAGGGGGTCGCGATCAGCCAATCAGGGCTCGGCGTTCTGACATCACCGCTACTTCCTTTCTCATGCGCAGAAGACGAAAATGAGCCCACTTGCGAGGCGTATACAGTTTACGCTTTGCGAAGGGAAATAACTTTCTACCGGAAAGCTCATAGAGTAGCTAAAATCAGCTTGTATTCTTGGCAAAAAAATATTCATCAACGTGGATGTCGTGATACATACTTTTTTTTTACAAAATAAACGTCACGCACACTTTCCGCTTGTGAAATAAATACAAACGAACGTATTCTGCATTAGATTTACCGTGTTTAATTGGCGCTCTTTATCTAGGCTGGTGTGGATAAGAAGATTGAAACACGAATTGGTCCTGCGAAAGACAAGCTCAGTAAGCTGGATTGCCCTTTTTTCTGTATTATTTATCTTTAAAATACAAATACAAAAAAAAAACATTGTTCCGGGATCTCAATTTGAGACAACTTATGAGGTCCCGCTACTGCTAAAAAAATTGTTTGTGCTCATTAATGAAACGGAGGTTCTGTATTAGCAACACAGTTCGTATTTTGTGTTAGTTTATTGATCCGTAGTAGTATGTTTCTATTTAAAAACATGATATTAATATTGAAACAAAGCTCTCGGCGTATAAATATATTTGGTGTGCGTCGCGCCAGCAATTAAAAAACAAATGGTAAGCATTATTGCTCACTTTATTGTTCACTGGCAATCACATGGCGGCGAATGGCATCAAGGGCGAACAAGGAGATTAGAGATTGTATACATTTGAAAGAACCGATCAATCGCCCTTGGGCCGGAAAGTTGAAACGAAGAGTAACTGCATGAATATGCGGATAGTAGGTTGTCATAGATTATATAGATGAGAGTTTTATAGTGGGGTACGATATAGCGAAGGACTTGGCACTTTTCAGCGTTGGGAAAAGAATAGAGTAATAACATTTTAAAAAAGCGTTTCGAGCACGCGTTATTAAAAGTATTACAAAAGTACTATGACCAACATTAATACAAATGCCACACGAGCAATGATCTACTAGATTGCACGGGTGAAGTCACTACCGCTAAATTTAATGAATTTGGTTGATTTGGTACTTCTATAAATTTCATTACCAATGCAATCGTTGGTACCACCGATGCAGCGTGGCTCCCGCACGCGTAGCGCCTTACTCCCATTGCCAGGCGAAAGTGGTCATATGGCCATAACGAAAACTAAGAGCGTTCTCGTCAGATGGCGTAGCATGTCAAAGTAATCAAAAATTGCGCAAAAATTAACCAGCAAACTTTTCTTCTGCACATCACGATTTTTATGAGGGTTAAATCAACACGACAGAGATTATTATCCCTACAGGTCTGTAACAAAACTTTAAATTTGAAGTACAAACAAGTTTAATAGCTTCACTTCTGCTCTCCTTCTGATTTCAAAATTGTAAATTTTGGCAAATTTTTGACAGCAGTTTTTTTTTTCAATTTGAACTTACGCGTATGTGTGGGTGAGGTCTCAATAAAGCAAAATGTCGATAAAATTAACAGATTTTTTTAGTGAACAAACAGAAACATCCGGGATTGTGCCAGCTCAAACGAATACGTTTAGCTTCTTAATTTGTGTGGATCATCTTGAAAGGATTGTTTGTTTTTGGCAGGTACATATACAAGGGGAAACAAGGAGACGCCAGGCTCTTTAAGTCGACCGGAAAATTCGTTTTCTTAACCTATCGCGCTACGATTTTGTGCAGCGTTGCCCACAGATGGTGCATTATTTTCTTTTTTTTTGTAAAATTTGCAAAGAGTGAACTTATCTGAGGAAAAAGTAAAGAAAGAAAAAGGCTTAGCTCTTATGGATACGCAGCGACGCCACCGGTCTTCAAACAACACGGCACCGTTTCGCACGGGACACAAGAGATGGCGCAACAAACACCGCCAACGAACGAGCCTCCGGCGCCGAGAGCAGGCCTTTTTAGCAGACGATCTTTACGACTCAAAAGCGGCGCGCGTTCCGCTGGCGGCAACAACCGCAGAAACAAAAAAACAAAACAAAAAAAAAACAGACAAGGTAACAGCAAGGAACTGCAGTACCTTGTCTGCTAAAGGGCCGGCTCTCGGCGTCGTTTGCTCGTTCGCGGCAGTTAGCGTCGCGACCGCTTGCGCCATCTCTTGTATCCCGTGCGATATGGCGCCGTGTTATTTGCAGACCGGTGGCGTCGCTGCGTTTCCATAGGAGCTAAGCCTTTCTTTTTGTTTACTTTTTCTTCAGGTGAGTTCGCTCTTTGCAAATTTTACAAAAAGAATGCACCATCTGTGGGCAACGCTGCACAAAGTCGTAGCGCGATAGGTTAAGAAACCGAATCTTCCGGTCGAATTAAACAGCCTGGCGTCTCCTTGTTTCACCCTCTAGTTGTTGCACTTTTCGCGACGTATGCGGCTGTCGCATCCCTCTCTACAATAAAGTAGAACATTAGGGATGGCATCAAGCGCAGGCCAAAAGTCATAGTTATCTAGGCCTTTTTCGGACACCGGATGCTTCTCAACTCCCAGTTTCATTGCATCTGGCATTTGGAGCTCGTTCAGGGTCTCCTTTGTTATTGGCGTGCTGATCAGTGCCTCACCAAAAGACTTCCGGCATGCGAAGATGTCCATCGCATCTTTCGTGGAATTATTGTTCTAGAAACTGTCCTTTCGGCATTCCATCTAGGCATTGACGATGGTGACGTCCATGAAATGCAAAATTACTTTAAGGGATTCACGTTTCTAGTTTGATCCCTGCGCGGTAGCATTCCCTCTTTTAGTCACACATGTTCACGTCAGTCACGTGCCGGTTTTAGTAAGATAACACAGAAGACGCAAATACCTGGCAGTATAGCTTTGCTGTCTTCCTGCAGCACTTTACTTCCTAAACAGAAATGCTCCCACTGCGGGTCGAAACCATTACCACGCTCTTGCTATCGCGCCAATTGACAACTGCCATTTCGTCTTCTTGTAGGCAAAGTTCTTAAAGTTTGCCCTGTTTCATCTCTTTTTCGGGGAGAAACGTCACACTCCTTAGGCGGTTCGGCATGAGGGTTACCGTTCCTTCCGGGTATTTCCTTCTGAGGCTTTCATCCACGGTATACTTGTAAAGTTCCTGAAAAATAAATTCTGAATTCTCAGAAAAAGCTTCCGTCAACCGGAACGCAACGCTTCCTCTCAGGCCAATGTCAGTGTCCGCTAATCTGTTTTTCTTGTTGCCTCGTTAAATCTGGAAATCTACGACAAGCCCTTTTTATCTAGTAATTGCCAAGTATTTTTTTTATTTTATTTTAGTCTTACAAGCCGTGGCTTCCCTTTAACGTATTGCTTCATTCAGCATCTTCGAATGAATGAAAATATTTTCGGCTCCTCCACGGAGTATACTCCGTGAAGGAGCAGAAAATATTTTAATTCATTAGGCATTAACTAGTGCACTTCCTAGTTTAAGCGTCGCTTTCGCACGGCATCGATGAGTGGGAATTACTTCTGTGTTGACGAAGTGTAGACTAGAACAAAGTGTGCAAAGTTCATCACGAGACAGTACTCTGAAGCGAAGTGAAGCTCGACTGCTCTCTCCCAGTATGTGCTGACTCTGGGGTGCTTGATGCAGCCAACCACAGCATGCATGCCGTGCAATATCTTCATTCTCTCAACTGTGATCTCAATCGACTTCCCGATTTTGGCTAAGTAGTACTTGTTGAAGTCCTCAGCCGCCAGCTCAAAGAAGCTGTCAGGGTAACACATTTTTAAATGTTCAAGTGGTACACGACGCAAATGATCGAGATATTTTTGATTTATGGGAATTTCTTCTGGATTAGAACGAAAAGATTTGTGCCTTCAAAAAAAAAAAAAATAAAACTCCTCTGTAACTCCTAGGACGGGGCTTGAGCATTTGTGTTCGAACCACTTGGTTCATCAAAGTTGTCTGGCTTCGGTCGTGCATCAGAAGCGCGGGAGAAGGCACGGCGATCATAGGTTTCGGCTTTCAAGTCGTGCCTCAGTGCTCTATTGGTCTGCTGACGCGTCCTTGATGTCAGAGCTCTCTAAAATCTGTCATCGTTATTCTCGGGTCGACTTGTCGTGTAAATGCACATGAACAGCCGAATAATTACAAGGTTAATACAAGTTAAACGCGCTTAGTATACACTTTGTACATTTAAAAAATAAACTAAATTATTCGTGTGTGATACATCACAATATCCTCAAAGAGGCACGCAAATTCTGAGACTTTTGACCTAACACACAAAAAAGTGTCTGTGTGAATTAAATGCCGGATATCAAACCCGCATATCACTTGCAAATATATTATTTGGTATGCCTACGCACTGAGTATTCACAAATATCACGTCGTTATCCGGAAATAATAAACATCAGCACAGAAATCAACGAAAGCCAGCTTACTTTTTTGCGATGACCACGCGTCGCCATCCCAAGAGATGTCCGATTCACAAAATGCTTGGGGAGCTCTGGTGTCACGAAAGCCTACTAAAATTAGTTTTTTTTTTTTATTGTCGGAAGCCTCAGCCATGGCTACCGTTTCGTTTTATCGCTTCTAGTGAAGAACTGGTAAAACTAAACTCCCGTCTTTACACCCACAGGTTTTTGTGAGGGTTCTAAAAAGGTACTCATATTGTTTCTTTCGGTCATTGCAGCTCATTTGTGCTGAGCTACAGCGAAGAAAGGGTTTTACAAATATAGCAGATAATTAATGTATTTGTTACTTTGTTAGAGGGTCATAGAAACTTTATTTGGTGATATTGAAATACCAGTTGCTTAGTTTGTACAACTCAACTGATTCTAACATTCAAAATCAATCGACATTTTTAAATTTTCAGCTTCAGCGGTACTTACGTCTAGCAACAACGCCTCGTAGCTCTCCTTTTTCTCAATCTAGCTAACTTTGCTGCGCGTATGTAGAGCCTAATTCTATGGTGCTGTAAACGAACAACTGAATGTTAAAGCGTGGTGACTTACAGAGCAATGGATTTGAGAAAAAAGTAGTTACTTATGAGAACCATTAGAATAAGGACCGCTTACCTCATAAATTCTAGAATTGTATATATCTCTGGCGAAATATGGTAAATTACTGTATGTAATAATATGTGTAGAAAAGTCCATCTCCCTACTACAGCTGAATCATTCATGCAATAGAGAGACACCAGCCGCGGCCACCAAGCACTACGGAAAACATGTATTGTCTATGAATATTGTCATTTAGGATATCGTGCAACGCTAATATAAAAACAAAAATATATTTTACTCCCATGCCTAATCTGGGAAACCATTAAATGTACAGTGTGTATTGAGCTGCGCTATGTGTCATGAGGCTGTCTGAGCTACGGGTGGTCCGTTGATTTAACGGGTAACGCCTCTTCCGCCAAAATTGGCGGCCGCTCAACAGTTGTTTTCGTGACGCTCTTTCGTAACTTTACAGTTATCTCGCAGACACCACCCCGGACAAAGCTTGTTTTCAAGCACTCAAATGTGTGAATAGCATATAATTACGAGCTTCCTAATGACTAATAAGATATCAAGCCATAATGCGTTTACATAAGCTGATTGAGTATGTGCATATGTGTGTATGAGGGAGATTTTGGTTGAGTTCTCGTTTAGTAAGTTTATACGGAGACCTAAAGTACGACGAGTGATATCATATCCAAAAAACCTGGAGAACCTCCTTTCCCGCAAGCCTTTCGAGTCAGCTAATTAATGCGACCTACGCATCGATCGCAGCGATTGGTCACCCTCGGGAGCACTCGGGAGTAGCCGAGGGTGACCAAAAAAAGCTGCGGCTTTCGTCACCGTTCGGGCCGTGTCCCTCCACACTTCTGGCCTCACCCCTGGTGGCGTCATGTTGCATACACAAGGTTCCCACCTTCATGGCCGTTAGAGTAGACGCTCGAGATATTTTAGAGTGTACGTTCGGACATGAAGAAGATACTCGTTTTTTTTCTTCGGATACTCGGATTTTTTTTTTCTGCCTGCGCGGACATTGAATTGGTACCATTGTCTCTACAGTCGTGAGGAAATTCCTGAATCGCATTTCTTAAAATTCTTTATTTCAGGTGAATTAATAGCGGAGGGTCAGGCTGGGACGTTTGATTTTGCTTTTATTGACGCGGACAAAGACAATTACGATGACTATTACGAAAAGTGTCTCCAGCTCGTCAGAAGGAATGGCATAATTGCCCTTGACAACGTGAGTAAGATCAGCTCTAGAGGGATCCAATCAATAATTTTTACAATCATTATTTTTTGTTACAGGTATTATGGAGGGGATCTGTTTACAAGCCCTCTGAACTCGACACTGCCCCAGAGACCTTGGCTCTGAAAATATTGAACGAAAAATTGCACACAGATGATCGGATTCATCTGTCCATGCTCACCGTTGCTGATGGCGTCACGTTTGCCCTCAAGAAATAGCACTTGCACTTTAAGAGAGATTTAAGTCTTCAGGTTACGTAACGTAAGGCTCTTACAATATGTAGCAGAGCACCGTTGAAGATTTTCTTTTTCCAAAAGAAATAAACTGGAGGAGGTTTAGGATATCATCACTCCAGGAAACATTTTTGGCCTACCTCATCCCGCATAGGCATGCATATCTGGTGGCAGGATTGTTAGATTAATCGCATTTACTTGATTTGACTGCAACCTGCACTTGGACGGCAAGAGTTCGTAGAGTTTAATTTCTAAAGGGGCTGTTTTGAGGCGGAACATTACGAGGCAAAATAAATGATTTCAGGATTGAAGAGTTTACACAAACAGATTAGTAGTCGGTTTTAACACGAATACTACGGCCATTTTTTTCATGGCTGTATTTGTTAGGCTAAATTCTACACTATTATAATATATAATATACTATATTATATAATTTATATTTACTATGTCGAATTTACGTTTTCTTAAACAGAACTTAACACAACCGTGGCTCCCTCTACCTCAGTAAGCTGCGTTCACCCTTAAGATGGCTAGATCCACAAATATATGTATATTATCTAACATCTAGCCATATAGGTGTGGAACGGCTAGTTGCTATACCTTAGGCATCTGCAGTGACTGAGCGGATAAGGTCAGTGGAGCTACGGCTGAGCATCCAATTTCATTGCTAGGGCAGTTCCTGCTGGGAGACATAAACCAAACATTTCCATTTTACACCACCATATGCACAAATTATTTTAACGTTTCGCATTCGCTGCAGGGGGAACCATCCGTCGTTACACAGAGTAAGCGAAATTGGATAAGTGGTCCTATGCTTCGCCCAAGTTTGTCTGCACTTTGCCAAGCTCGTATGTTTGTTCACCCTCCAGATGCGCTCTCGACCATTTGCTTGCCCTCGACCTCAGTCTATGATGGGGCGCTTTTCTGTCTCGGCATCGAGAGTTTCCTGGGCGTTCTCTGTGTTGCCCCTTATTAGGCTTGTCCTCCTTGCACTCCAATGCGCCAAAGATCTGTTTTTAGACACTTGCTTGTCGTGTTTATTGAAAATATTAAAGCGCTTCCCTCAGGCGCCCGTTCCCGACTTTAGCGGCGTCGCCGTCACCGTTGCCGTCTCGTCGGCGTAGCGGCGCTTTGATTATGGGACGTTTCTCATATTGACGTCACACGTGACATCACGTGTGACGTCACGAGGATAGAATTTTCCAGCTAAATTCAGCGGAAAATTTTTTCCGCTAAGTTTAGAGGAAAATCAGCCTCGTAACATCACACGTGACGTCACGTGAATGAATGTGACGTCACGTGGCGTTTCCGCTAAGTTTCAACTAGATCTAGCGGAAAAATGTCCCCGCTAAATTTAGCAGGGAACTTCACGTCGAGCGACCTCTACACCTATTCACTTTTCCCGCTAAATTTTATGGGAAATTAGCAAAACTTTCTCGATAAATAGGAGGGGAGCAGGAGAGGAGGATGGCAGGGTATGGACGGGGCGGAAGGGTTACCCTCCTCACCGTATCCTCCCTTCCTCTTTTCCAAGAACTGCGCATTTAATTCGGCATTACAGAGAATTAGAAACGTCACATTTTTTATACATCGCATAGGTTGTCTTGCACGCGGACTCATCCCCGTTAAGAAAGCAGTATACTTGAAGCTTTCCAGTGCCCCACGTTTTCATCGACAAAGGCGAAGTCGACGAAAATTTAAATGTATACTCCTTTATCCAAGAGTATTCGACAAGTTCTGTCATTTCATTGGCCGTGTTCATCGTGCGCGCAATTTTATGTTGGCCGTCTTGTAGTATAGTGCTTTCTTTTTATTTGGTTTAGCTCTGTAGGGTAAGGTGATTACAGACGGCCGCAATCACGCACCCCTAGATATGTGGTGCCTTGCAAATTACTAGGCACTTTGACGCTTTAGCCCCATGTTCTAAGGGATAGAAAACACAGCCATCGGATGGCCAAACCAAGTTTTTCATGTCAGGCTCGTCAAAATAGTAGTCCCTGTAGAAATCAACATCTGCGTTAAGTCCTTAGTTCGTACTGTTTTAAACCCGCGTTGCGCCCATTGAGAAACACAGCGAACCAATTCAAGTACGCACCTGGTCTGGATACACTACCCTCTCCTTCCGCACAATAAAGTCCCAGGCAGCACACAGTATTGGGCCCACATTGGATTTGATGGGGCAAAGAACGGCCCAACAATGGCTTAAATGAGCCATATGTTTCCCAATATTGGAATCACATTGAACAATAATAGACTATCAAAGCCAATGGTTTTCCAATATTGGTGATACGTTGGCATAGGCTGGTCAACATTGGACTGTCAAAGCAATAGCTGTCCAATATTGGATATACGCCGGCATAAGTTGTCCAATATTGGACCGTCGGATATACTGGCTTTCTTATATTGGCTATACGCCGGCATAAGCTGTCCAATATTGGACTGTCAAAGCCAATAGCTTTCCAATATTGGATATACGCCGGCATAACCTGTACAATATTGGACTGCCAGAGCCGATGGTTTTCCGATATTGAATATACGCTGCCTTAAGCTGGTTAATATTAAACTGTCAAAGCCAAGAGTTTTCCAATATTGTTGATGTCTTGGTATAGGATGGTCAATATTCTACGGCCTTAGCCAATGGCTTATCGATATTTGTGTCGCCTAGGCTATAGACACGCTACCCTGTTTTTTTGCATTGCAGAGGTAGGAAAGTGGAAAAAGAGTCATTCATGAGCTCGCTCGGGCGAGAATTTTATTTAGCCAACTTTGTGGGGCGTACGTCGCCGGTACTTTATAACCGCGATCACAAATACGTCGTTGGCTGCCTATAAAACTATTGCAGCTTTTTTTCTTTTTTTGCCGGTTGCTTTTCTAGCGCATTGCCTTACCTCGGCGTTGACAACTTAATTCCGTTTTTTAGATTTACTTATGTTTGTCTTTTCCAGTGTATTTTTTATGTATACGTAGCATTAACGTCTTCTCCTGGTCCATGCCCTTGGCATGTTTGTATTTCTTTCTGCGTGCTCTATTTTTTTTATCTAATGTTTCTGTGCATATTTCGAAATTGTCCACGCAGGTGTCAACAAAGATAAAGCCGCCGCTTACGCCGCAAACGAAGTGACATCTACTTTCAGTTTTACGAGAGTATCGTGCTATGAACTCGTATATTGGACTCGAGTGAAGTCTCGAAAGGGCTGCTTCAACTGCCAGTGTACATGTCATCAGTGTATTCAGAACAACGACGTAGCAATCGCGACGCGAGAGCATACTGCGCCTCCATCTGGCCGGCCGCGCTCGCTCTGAGGAAATGTGAGCGTGGGACTTTCGAGCCCCGTTAGCTTACTGAAGTTGCAAGACGCTACTTTGTTGTCGAGAATCCTTTGCCCGTCGAACGGTCGCGAAGCCGTTGCGCCCGGAGTACCCTACGCAGCATCTTTCAGAAACCGTTCGCGCAGCATTGCAACCTTCTGTCTGCGAGCATCGGCGATTAATCGTGTGTTGAAAGTACTGCTCTCGCGAGTTGAAAGTGCTGTCCGGGGTGTCCTTTATCTGTAACTCTTTCGTAAAGAAATGCGAAGTTTAAAAACACGAACCTAACAGTGCACAAATAATTTTAAATTTATTCATAATATATATATATATATATATATATATATTTAATACTTTATTTATTTGTGTTCATCGTGCGCTAAAAATAGCCGCGCTTAGGTGTTCATTCTAAATTATAAGGTGGGTTATACGACGTAAAACATACTGTCTTCAAACTTGCCCCGTTTAGAACCACATTTGGGCAGGGCAGCTCCTTTAGAAGTTCAAAATCAGACCTTCAAAGAGCTGTCCTGTTCAATCGTATTGACAGCAGGGTAGACGCTATGCCTGTTTAAGGCCAATCGTGTCTCCGGTTACAGTCACGTGACTACAGTCTCGAAGCTGGTGATAGGGCAGAGCACGGAACCTGCCTAAAGCCCAAGGTCACGTAGAACATCCATTGCACTATCAACTTTGGGTAGAAGTTACGAATCCTCTCGTGTACTTTGTTGAGATGCCCCTGAAGATTAGCCTGTGTAGGCGCACCCCCGTTCTGGCCTGCTTCCTTTCTACTCCTCTTTTTTCTGTCTCTCCCTAAGCTAAATACGTGGTAGGCGGTGCGTACTCGCCGGACCAATGAACCGTACACTTTTTATCGCTTGAATCCGCTCTCTGTGCGCGGGAAACGGCCGAAGCGTGATCACGTGGTTTGACGGATGACGCATTAGCCGTTGACAAACCCGGAATGCCTGCAAAGAGTGGACCTAGTTTCGCGTGTGATGCGGCCTGCGGGGTGCCGGCCTGCAGTGGATTTCACTTCTGTGGTAAATGGTATTTCGTTCGAAAAGTCCTACCCATATCGATTTCTTCAAAGAAGCCCAAGACAATCTTGTAAATCGTTTACTGTTCGGTTCAGCAAAAGGTAGCGTATGCTACATCGTGTTGAATCTTCACGGATCACTTCCTTCTAGTTTTTGGGTTTGAGTGGTTGTTTAGCTGTGTCCGTGTCGACATATACATAGGATTACATCTTTGAAGTCCGGTATTTTCAACGTAAGTGCGCTCCAACCTACTTGGTGATCATTGTTCGTTCTTGTACGGGTACTCTTCCGGATAACTTCTAGAATTAGGCAGTGCCTATCTCCTGGCAGCAGCGAGAATAATTTTCCTGCAATCTTACCGACATTCGCCTTCCATTATCTGTCTGAGATAATGTAACAACTGCAGGTGATATACTGACTTCATTATTCTCCCTGCGTTTTGGAAAAACACGTTTCGTGGCCCCCTTTTTGTAATACACGTTTCGTCGACATTCGTTACGCGAATTGCACGCTGTAGAAGCATTTCGTCGCGCGTGTATTCCTGAGGCGCAACGTTTCCTCGACATTCGTTACGCGAATTGCACGCTGTAGGGGCATTTCAAAGCGCGTATTCCTGAGGCGCGTGCTCACCGAACCAGCCCACCCTCTCACGCCGCTTTGTGCTAAGTCTGCAGCGGTTCCTTGCAAAAGAAAAAAAAAAGAAACA